TGAACTTCGCCTGTTCATCTTCTTCAAACCCCATGGCTTCACGCTAGTAAAAGAACCCAAAAAGATCAAGTCTTTGAAGCTTACCTGAGGACGGCAAAGCAACACCAGGTGCGGCAGAAGTGTAAGCCTTCCCCTTTCCCTTCGAGACAATAGATTTGGTCTTAGGTGCCATGGAGAAAATCAAGAAGAAGTTCATTCAAAAGTTTTAAGAGTTTTGGAGAAGAAGATTCGAACAACAAGAGTGCAGTATCCTCTTCACGAAGAAGAGCGAGCCTTTATATAGGCAAAGAAAGCAACGGTTGAGATTTGATCTCCAACCGGCGCAACAGTTCGAATTTGAATCCAACAGCTGAGATTCAGTCTTTTTGAAATCAACGCTCAAGATTAACTCTAGAAATAAGCAGTTCGGATCTACTATCCAAATGGCAAGACGGTTCGAATTCCACTAAACAGTTGAGATTTGATTTTTTTGAAAATCAACGGGCATGATTTACTCTCGAAGAAATGGCTGAGATCTGATCTCTAACCGACACAACAGCTCAGATCGTGCGCGTAACACGATAACGCCAAATCACATCGCATTTAATGCAATTTGACATGTTATCATCTCCTCAAAGCTCTCTTGTGGTCGTTTGGTTCGCTTGCAACCGCTTGGTTCTCCTGTAACTGTCTGGTTCGCCTGCAAAGCTAAGTCCGCCTTAATGCGTAGCTCGCCTGAATTCACTGGCTGCACCTATAAAGCCCAACTTCACCAGAATGATTAAGTTCATTATTTCGCCTGAATCAATGAATAGTGATCATTTTTTTACGAGTCTGAATATTCAAAGTATTTCAGACCCCATGCAACTCAAGTTGGGTCTGAAAACTTTGAAGGGGGTTTTGTGGGCAAATAAAATTGTCTTTATTCCTAACAAAGAAAGCTTATATGTTCACCTGGAAGATTAAACTCTGCCTGAACATTCAAGTGCACATGAACCAAGTCAAGTCTGCCTAAATGCTTGACTTCGCAGGCCGAGCTAAGTTCGCCTGATGACACAGCTCCGCCTGAATCAATCACAAAGATCCAAGTTCGCCTGAACATCGAGCTTCACCTAAATGAAGTTATGTTCGCCTGAACACTTAACTTCGCCTACGAGGTTCGCCTGCATGTTTCAAGCTCGCCTGAATGGTCAAGCCCGCCTGAATGCCAAGTGTGCCTAAACTGCTTGACCGAGTCAGCCACTAAATCCTGAATTGTGGAAGCGGTTGCACCCACTTCCTACGTTCTTAGGAGGTGGTTACAGGTCATTCCTCTCTATAAAAAGCGACAAATGGCTACAGAAAAATGGACTTTTTAGCATTAAGAGAACCGAACTTAGCATTCTTGTGCATTCGGCCTTCAAATTCTAGCTCGGGTATTCGAACTCAAAAGACAAAACTTCTACCACGCAAGGAAGTTTGTTCACGACCTTGTTCGAATTGTCAACGGGAAGTAAACTCGACTCAAGCATCGAAGGAGGTATCCTATCGCCCTAAAAGATCCCACGTTAAACAAAATAGAGATCAAATCAATTCTCTCTTCTTCTGTGTAAAAGAGATTTCCAATTTGTAACAAATAATTCATTTAATACAAATTTGAGATCACATTTTACGACCTACAATCGCTGATATTACATATAGTTAAACTCTCACCTTCGATCTATGTATGTTGATGTGTGTAATGTGTCACACCAACAACACAACAACCAGCATCATGGAGGGCCCCATAAACCACGGCTTACTCTTATATAGAGTAAGTGTGGCTAGTGTGTGCCTTCACGCCTAATGTGTTATCGCATGACACACATTCAAACCGTCAGCTATGATCTATGTTTTCATTAATCTATATCATAATTGTTTGGATGGGTATCACGTTAATGACACACTAATTAGCACCTTTTACTGATATATATAAATACGAATTATGACAGTTATTTGACAATTCATTTGGATGGTGGTCATCACATTTGAAATTACTGTGTAGTTTTTCAGTAGATACAAGAAGAAACTAGACAAAAATAATGGCAAATAAAAACTTAGAACACACCACATTGGCCTAGATCTTTCACTGCAGTGACAACACTTTTCTTCCTCCAATCAAGTGGATACGTGCCTTGCAACTTTCATTCATCAACCTCTTCTTTATCTTCTTCCCATCTCTTCTCAACATTTTGCTCAAATGCAGGCTCTCTGAACTCCTCATTGCTTAAATCTATAAACACATTGAGCCAACAACATGACCAAAGGATGAGGCGAAAGCATTCTTTCTTCTGTTCCTTTTTCGCACGTATGCAAGGTTCTTTCGAAAGTTTTCAAACCTCCTCCCCTTCTCCGCTGGATGCACGTAGACCCATCTCCACTGTTCGAAGAGTTTGAGCTCTTCTGAAGCAGAAGCGAGCTCGTAAGTAATGATTAAAAATTCATCGGGGCATTTTCCTAGTAGAGTTATGAACAATTTTTCAAAACAGACCCTTTAAAATTTTTATTTTTCAAAATCGACCCTGTTTTTTTTTATTTACCAAAACCGACACGTTTTTTTGATTAGCAGCCTAATCACATTCCTAAATAGTCGGGGTTGCCAACCCCGACTATTTAGGACTTAAATTTGTATGGTTTAAGGCTTCTAATTAGGGTTTAACACCCTCCTAAATAGTCGGGGTTGGCAACCCCGATTATTTAGGAATGTGATTAGGCTGCTAATCAAAAAAACGGGTCGGTTTTGGTAAATAAAAAAAAACAGGATCGGTTTTGAAAAATAAAAATTTGAAAGGGCTGTTTTGAAAAATTGTTCTAGAGTTATTGGTAACAAAAGGAGAAAGAAAAAGCTCAGTATCATACTGTGGAAGCTCAATCCAAATAGGAAGTGTAATAAGAAGGTTGCTATACTGTAATAAGAGTTTGAGCTCAATTCAAATAGAAAGTGTAATAAAAATCGGGATTACTGTAGCAAAAAAAAATAATATGCCGTACTTTGCACGGTGTTCACGACTAGTGTATATAGGATGGAAAACTAAGAAAGGCTGTTGGAGACTTGGACCTATCAATGCTCTCGAAGGGTGCGGTGCGACTTGGGCTCTTGTAGCACGCATTTCCTTTGATTTTGAAGTCAAAACAGCGACACCAACCAGTCCTGAGGAATGACAGCTTATTCTCTTGATACCTGAGCATCGAAGGAGGTATCCTATCGCCCTAAAAGATCCCACGTTAAACAAAATAGAGATCAAATCAATTCTCTCTTCTTCTGTGTAAAAGAGATTTCCAATTTGTAACAAATAATTCATTTAATACAAATTTGAGATCACATTTTACGACCTACAATCGCTGATATTACATATAGTTAAACTCTCACCTTCGATCTATGTATGTTGATGTGTGTAATGTGTCACACCAACAACACAACAACCAGCATCATGGAGGGCCCCATAAACCACGGCTTACTCTTATATAGAGTAAGTGTGGCTAGTGTGTGCCTTCACGCCTAATGTGTTATCGCATGACACACATTCAAACCGTCAGCTATGATCTATGTTTTCATTAATCTATATCATAATTGTTTGGATGGGTATCACGTTAATGACACACTAATTAGCACCTTTTACTGATATATATAAATACGAATTATGACAGTTATTTGACAATTCATTTGGATGGTGGTCATCACATTTGAAATTACTGTGTAGTTTTTCAGTAGATACAAGAAGAAACTAGACAAAAATAATGGCAAATAAAAACTTAGAACACACCACATTGGCCTAGATCTTTCACTGCAGTGACAACACTTTTCTTCCTCCAATCAAGTGGATACGTGCCTTGCAACTTTCATTCATCAACCTCTTCTTTATCTTCTTCCCATCTCTTCTCAACATTTTGCTCAAATGCAGGCTCTCTGAACTCCTCATTGCTTAAATCTATAAACACATTGAGCCAACAACATGACCAAAGGATGAGGCGAAAGCATTCTTTCTTCTGTTCCTTTTTCGCACGTATGCAAGGTTCTTTCGAAAGTTTTCAAACCTCCTCCCCTTCTCCGCTGGATGCACGTAGACCCATCTCCACTGTTCGAAGAGTTTGAGCTCTTCTGAAGCAGAAGCGAGCTCGTAAGTAATGATTAAAAATTCATCGGGGCATTTTCCTAGTAGAGTTATGAACAATTTTTCAAAACAGACCCTTTAAAATTTTTATTTTTCAAAATCGACCCTGTTTTTTTTTATTTACCAAAACCGACACGTTTTTTTGATTAGCAGCCTAATCACATTCCTAAATAGTCGGGGTTGCCAACCCCGACTATTTAGGACTTAAATTTGTATGGTTTAAGGCTTCTAATTAGGGTTTAACACCCTCCTAAATAGTCGGGGTTGGCAACCCCGATTATTTAGGAATGTGATTAGGCTGCTAATCAAAAAAACGGGTCGGTTTTGGTAAATAAAAAAAAACAGGATCGGTTTTGAAAAATAAAAATTTGAAAGGGCTGTTTTGAAAAATTGTTCTAGAGTTATTGGTAACAAAAGGAGAAAGAAAAAGCTCAGTATCATACTGTGGAAGCTCAATCCAAATAGGAAGTGTAATAAGAAGGTTGCTATACTGTAATAAGAGTTTGAGCTCAATTCAAATAGAAAGTGTAATAAAAATCGGGATTACTGTAGCAAAAAAAAATAATATGCCGTACTTTGCACGGTGTTCACGACTAGTGTATATAGGATGGAAAACTAAGAAAGGCTGTTGGAGACTTGGACCTATCAATGCTCTCGAAGGGTGCGGTGCGACTTGGGCTCTTGTAGCACGCATTTCCTTTGATTTTGAAGTCAAAACAGCGACACCAACCAGTCCTGAGGAATGACAGCTTATTCTCTTGATACCTGGGATTTGGTAGCTAAGTTCTCTTGCGAGAGTAATTCATGCGTTAAGGATCTACAACGAACCATCAAAGGAATCACATAAAAGACCACTTTTCATATAAGAAAATAAAAAGAATCATCAAAAAGTAATAAGTAATGAAGTCCAAAATGTCATCACAAGCCACAGTAACTATTAATATATACTGTCAAAAATAAACAGTTAAAGAACACAACTTGGGCTAAAAAGCCTTGATCCTATCACAGATGTCACTACAACAACAAAAGCATAAATTATGGGTTCTGCTGTCAAAATTGGGCTGCACGTCTTTTCCCCGCTGGACGTAAAACATGGTTACATTGCTACAAGTAACTCGCCGAGTTCTCTCTTGCCTTCTTCCTTGCAAGCAATCTCTCAAGCTGCAAGTATCACCACAAATTACGTTAGTAACTAGAAATAGGGATTGAGTTATAAAAAAAGCATAATAGGCCAACGTATACAAAATGCTGCTATCACTTTCAAATAGTAGGTCTCCATAGAATATTACAAATAGCTATTGAAGAGTGAACACTTGATACATAAAAACATGTTATATAAAAGTATTCAACTTGTCAGCATCCTCGACATATGAAAGTTCGGTCGTTTAGAATACTTAGCAACTGACAGCATCCTCAATATCATCTATATTTATATTACATGCAAAACCAAAGATTATATCCATCAGGAACAACTTAGCAGCATTAGCTTTCAAAAACTTGAGCAAAATAAAAAACAAGTATATACACGGAAATAACTGGTACTTTATCTTCATCCCTCTTAACATGCCTTCCACGCCTTCTATTAATTTCGATACAAGGATCTGCAACCATCCAGGCATGTCCATGCCATCAAGTACAGTAGAAGATAAATTTCAAACCAACATCATACTACCAAGTACCAACATCATCTACTAAAGATCTGAATGCTAATTTATCTTCTCTATGTTATTCTAACATCTATCTGCATTCTTTAAAGCCTTGAGATTTACAACTAGAGAGTAAAAGACCGTAAAGACCTATATGAAAATATGGAATATGTTTCTCTTCATCTTATCCGCACAAATCTAGCTCTTTTTCTAATTTCCCGTCCTTAAAAGAATTGAGTATACACATTTACATCATAGAACTTTTGATTTCAGTCATTCATCAATTTCTCTCATTAGGATGCCTTATATGCAAAATGTATAACTTAGTTTGCTCTATAGTTAAGTTGCATCAGAACAGGTATGGGTATTGGTGCGGGTGCGGGTACTAGTGCGGGACACGGCAAATTTGTAAGATGAAGGAGACGGGGACACGGCTACACATATGTATTGAAACTAATAATTTACATGGGATCATTCTTAATTTCCAATTCATGTGTTATTAGGATTAGTTATTAGGATTAGAAATCTTATCACATTTTAAGTTTCTTTTATTATGTTGATTATTATAAATTACAAATTACTTGTTTTTAAATGACACCCAAAGGACCCTTTAAAATCATAGTTTTGAACTTGGGTATGGGCTGAAACGAACCCCACCTAAAGTCTAACGAGTTTTAAGAAATGAATGTATAATAGTAGGATATATGTTCAAGAAGTATTGCACAAGTGTCTTAAACTAAAGCATATATCATATAATTGAGTAAATGTTTGAATAAATGTATGCATACATCCAAGGAGTGTCCATGATGTTTGGGTATGGGTACCTATAGGCTACGTGTCCGGTATGGGTACGGCTTCATGATAAAAATACCCAGGTAACATAGCTCAAGAGTTTAAAAATAATTTCAGCCCTTTATAAATTTATTTCTGTGATGTTGTCTCATGTTTGTTTCCTGGTTTCTCTTCTATAGTCGGTCTTCCATCAAGTTTCAAAGAAGTCAGCTTTCTTCAACAGAAATTATCTTTCAAATTATCGTCCACGTCAAAAGGATATAATCTACAGTAAATAAAGCTTATGGTTAGGTATTAAGTTGGTATTCTATGCCCACTTCAAAAACAACAAAGCCTTTATCCCAAATTTTTTGGGTTGGCTACATGACTCTTATCCTTCAATTCAGTTATGTTTTTTGTCTCCCCTAATGCATATACATCTTTCTAAACTCCCGATGTTATTAGCCACGGGAGTCTATTTCATCTTGATGCACTTTTCACACCTACAATCCACAAAGAACTTTTTTTTTTGGCAATCTCTGAGTGCAAATTGATGCCAGGACGGTATGGGCAAGATGGATAAAAGGAGGGGAAAATGAGGAAATGAGGATAGGATGTTGGTTACGCTAAGGATACAGACATACCACCCTAGAGTAAATGACAGATAAAGGGGTTAGCCAACAAATCTAGAGATACAGATATCACCACTCTAGATAGATACGACGATTCACCACTCCAAGGACCCCACCTTAGAGATATAGATAAACACTCACACTCAATGGAATCCACCAATGAAATGTAGAGCAAACACAAAGCACAGGGCTTAACTTTAATCAAATCATAACACATAGTTGTTTTCCATTAGACTTTAAAACTATATATAGGCTTGAAACAACCCTTCAAGCAAGGAAGATTAATGAATCTAAAAGAAATTTAATGACATTGAGAAACTAAGACTAATCTGACTAATTAAATAACCTATGAAATGTAAAAGACGTCATGTGATCCAGATTCGACCCCCTTGCTATATTTTCACAATACCTCTCATCACAAATCTCCAAATTATGCAAACTTCAATCTTACTGAAACTAGACCCAAATATCTATGGACCACTTTAAACGAGATGTCTTTTGGACTTCTCTAGAGAAAGTTATGGCCAGATCAATCAAAGCCATGCACAAAGTCAAGAGAATCCGAATTTCCAATTTGGACTTCTTTGCTCATGCATCACAAATACAGGAAGATATATGTCAGCAATCGGAAGCTACTTCAAGCAACCAGACAGTAGCTTAGGTGTGTGTTATAACTTGTAAACTACATCCTTCTGAGGTTTAAGATAGACACCCAGAAATGCTCTAGAGACAGTATTATTGTAAGTAACATTTTTAAAAGATTGAAACTGCATTTTCTGTGATACTTGTGCATGTACATATGTTAAACTGGTCATGCGAAAATACTCCTTAATAAAGAAATAGAAGTTTCAAAAGCAGATAATATGCATGTTAAATTCAACAGAGAAACATAAAGAACACCCCCTGCTCTAACTTCCTAACTAAACAAGTATAATTTAATCTGCAGACTCCTAATTTGAATGGGTAAATACGACAAGGCGAACATTATCCGAAGCAAAAGAAACAAAAGAGGTAAGGAAAGTGTACCTCTTTTCATACTAATGCCTTAAATTCCATCAGGATTTCTTTTTCTGGGGTTTGGAGGGGATCTTTCCATAGGCGATGAGCCTTGATCTTGATAGTTTCAATTCAGCTTGCCTACGTCTTCTCTTCATTCGCCTAGACATGGTATTTGCATCACCATTTGGTTCCTCACTTTCTTCTCTTTCGTTTCTTGCTCCTGCTACATCAGAATCTGACTTCATCTCATGCTTCTTACTTTTCTTACTGTCATTTGATGTTTCTCCCAGAAGAATTGAACTCTTCTTCAACTTCTGGTGATATGTCACCTTCCATTCTTTCTCTCTATACGGAGCTAACTTCTTTAAAGAAACATACTGATTCAAATCCTTATCATCTGCTATCAAAATCTCTTCTGCACCCAATCCAAATTTATTAGCTGGAACTTGCTTATATTTGAATCGTGTCTTAAGGTCTCCAATAGTGTCTTCATAATCTAATTTATAGTACTCTTCCAACTCCTTATCAAGCTCAACTTTCTCCTTAAGAGTGATCTTCCTTTTTCTCTTTCTCTTACTCTCTCCTTTCTCCAGTTCTTCTTCCTCCTCCTGTTGCTTCAAAATCCGTTCTCTCGTCGCTTCAAACCCCTCATTTGAACCCCCAACATCCCAATCTTTAGGAAGCCCAAGCAATTCATCCTCCTTACCAAAATCGGGCTTCTCCAAGTCACACTCATCACCACTGCCAAACCCAGGATCAGCATCTTCGGCACCATAGTAATCCACACCAAACATCTCTTTCATCTTCTTGTCATACTCCTCAGGATCAAAATCTTCCTCCAAATCATCAGCACCCAACTTGCATTCCCCATCATCTCCAAACCCTGCAATTGCCCGCACTTTCTCCAACTTCTCCTGAATCTCTTTCTTCTTCAAATTCTTCAAATGCTTCAACTCCTCCTTCCTCTCAAACTCCGCCTGCGCCATTCTCTCCTCTTTACTCTTCCTCTGCGCTTTCCTACTACTGGTTTTCTTCCTCACTGACCCCTCAGTAAACCTCGCATGCCCTAAAATCCTATCACCTTCAACCTCCTCATGGCGGAAATTATACTCGGCTTCATACTTATCCTGCTTCTCGAGCTCATCCTCATCCTCTGAAACCCCAATATCTTCAAGAATCAGCTTTTTCTCCTTCTCCTTATCAACCCACATCTTATTAAGCAAATAGTTCTTTAAAAACATATCATCCTTATTCAAATTATCATCTTCACCAAAATACTCATCCAACTTCTTCTGTATCTCTCCAGCATTCTCATCCTCCTCCATCTCATCCCCATTCCTCACCTTCTCCTTAATTATATCCCCATCATCGTCCGACCCAAAAGCCCCCTTCTCTGCTTCAAAAAAAGCCTTAATGTTCTCAGCCTGATCCTCATTATAAACTTTTGGATTCAATTTTTCGACACCAAACTCAGGCCCCTCTTCGGTCAAATACTTATAATTCACATCCTTCAAATACATCGGCTTCTCCTTCTTCTTCCTCTTACTCGATTCGCCATGGCTATCCTCATCATCCGATGAGGATTCAAACAGCTTCGCGTCCTTCTGATTCAAGATCGGATCTTGCTTCTTGACTTTAACGAGGGCGTCGTAGAACTTGAGATCCTTCTGCGGCTCGTCGTCGGAGGATAAGGACTCGTCGTCGGAGGAATCGTCGGAGGAGGAAGCGACGACGCCTTTCTTTTTGAGCTCCTCGAACCGCTGGAGATCCTCGCGCTTCTTGTTGTGCTCGAATCTGCGGGCGAATTCTTTGTCGATTTCGATCTTGGATAGATCTTCGTCGTTGACGTTGGGGTCGGAGACGGCGAAAATGTCGACCCCCATTTTTTTTAGAAGCAGAAGCGATGAGGGATTGGAGAACCCTAGAAAGAAGGGTGGGAGCGATCTAGGGTTTTGATGTGGTTGGGGTTTGTGACTTCTTAGAATATCTGTGGTTTTGGCGCGGGAACGGGTCGGGTTCGGAGTCGGGTCAAGAATTACCGGTTTACAGGTCCAAACTTCGTGCTGCCCAAATGGATATGGATCCCTTCACTCGTGTTTATCGTATTGGCAAAGGCGGAAAAAGAAATGAAAGGGTTAAACATCTTAGATATTTGGGATTTTTTTCCAACATTAATACTTAGCATTTTATAATTGATCCATCAAACATTTGCTATTGAAATTGTTACTAGTTCCGCAATTCTTAAGTTACTTTCAAGAGTAGAAATAACAATTAAAGAGATTTATTTAAAACGTTATGAAGTAGTAGATACGTAGCTTATCTCTCTAGCTAATTTCATAACTAGGTGACAAACTTCAAGTGTAGAAACGGCGAAAACATTGGAGAATAACAAGATTTTTGGAGCTGACAGACATTTGGGTGCTCTCCGGTCGACCGCGAGCTTTGGCGCGGTTGACCGACAACGTGCACGACTTGGTACAGATTCTGGATCTTTGGCCGGTTGACCGTGATAATTTCGACGGTCGACCTCTAGACACTATAATTGAATTTTGGGTTCTGTTGTTCTGTCCGGTCGATCGCGACGTCAAGTGTGGTCGACCGCGAGTCGGGTTCGAGTCTGTTTTGGTTTCTTGTTCTGTTTGGGATTTGTGTTTGGTATAAATACCAACACACGTTTTAAAGTTTCTTTAGGCTTGTTATGGGGATATTTGGAACACAGAAAAAAACATTTTCTGAGCTATTGGTTAGGGTTTTGTTTGGAGAGAATTAGAGATTTGTTGGTGATATTAATTGGTGAGTTCGAGTGACTTGTAATCTCAGTTTGTACTCTTCTTCTCTATTAGTGAAAACATCATCCCCTTCTTGTCCCGTGGACGTAGGCAACTTGTCAAACCACGTTAAAATTACTTATTTGTGTTTGTGGCATTACTATGGTTTGTTTGGCCTTCTCTCGGCGTTTGGTTTGGTTCCTCGAAGCACATCGTTTTTAGCTTTCGTGCACTATAAGTGGTATCAGAGCTTGGTCTACGCTTAGGCTAATTGGAGGAGTAGATCGCTTCCTTTCTTCATCTAGGGCTTCAGTTGGTGATAAAAGTGGGATTTTTCCTATTTATGGATATTTTTTTCGTCATGTGGGGGTGAGATCTTTCAGAGGCCCTTGTTAGGGTTTTAGTTGGAGGTAAAAAATCTCTCTCTTTCACTTTGGATCTATTCTTTGTTTGTTCCGTATTGGTTTATTGGTGCTTTGAAAAAGATGGTCGAGAAAGAAGGAGGTGTGGAGGATACTTTCGGCGTGAAGACCGTTTAAAGTTTGAATATCCACTCTATAAAAATAGATGTGAAGAAGTTTAATGGCACAAACAATTTTGGTCTTTGGAGATGTGAAGTCTTGGATGTGCTCAACGCACAATATTTAGAAGATACATTAGAGTTGGACGGGAAACCGGTCGACATTGAGGAGAAGGTTTGGAAGAAGATGAATAGAACAGAGTGTGGTGTGATTAGATCTTGTTTAACTCAAGATTTAAAATATAATCTGATCAATAAGACTTCGGCTAAGAAGATTTAGAAGATCCTAGAGGGTAAGTATTTGACAAAAAGTATAGAAAACTGCTTGCATTTGAAGAGGAGGCTTTATCGCTTCCGATTGAAGAAAATGACCTCCATTGGTGATCACATGAACCACTACACGAAACTTCTTGCAGATTTGATGAATGTCGATGTAATGATTGAAGATGGGGACAATGCGTTGTAGTTGAGTTTATTGCCTGACGAGAAGTATGAGACATTCGTCCTTACTCTTATTAATGGGAAGGCATCTTTTTTGTATAGTGAGGTTACCGCTACACTTGTGAATTATCAGCTTTGAAAGAAAGATAAGGAGACTTTAGTTGAGCCGGTAGCGGGGACATTGATCGCAAGAGCAAAGAGTCCAAACCATAGTAGGAGATCGCAGTCTAGAGGGGCACATCCTGGAGTTCGTAGGAATCAGTGTGCCTTTTGTAAAGAGGATGGATATTGGAAAGCCGAATTCCCAAAGTTGATTGATCGAGCCGGAAAGAATAAGGGGAAAACTATTCAATCTTCAGAGGTAAATGTTAAGATTCGGATTCTTTGGTCTACTCATTAGCACTACCGTCAATTTGTTATGTCGACTCTACAGAGTGGATGTTAGATTCGAGGTGCTTCTTATCATATTTGCCCTAGGAGGGATTGGTTCTTCAGCTTTTAGAAGTTGGAAAGAGGGGATGCCGTGCTCATGAGTAATGATCATGAATGCCCTATTGGTGGTATCGGTACCGTCCATATTAGGATGTGTGACGGAGTGATTCGGGAGTTGGATAAAGTCAGCTTTGTTCCTCGGTTGAAGAAGAACATTATTTCATTTGGAGTTTTGGAGGCAGCGGGCTATAGGATGACCTTAGAGGATGCATGTTTGAAGATCATATTTGGGTCCATGATTGTGATGAAGGACGTCAGAAAGAAGAATTTGTATTATTTGATTGGGAGCACGGTGATTGGTAGAGAGCTGACGACTTCTTTGGATTTGGCTAGACTATAGCATTTGTTGAGGCTGGGAAATTTGATTGGTTATGTCGTGCATGGATTGTTGAGGAGTGCTTTAACTTGCAGATTGAAGTCCTTTGAGCACATTAGTATGAGCAAGAAGATCAAGGTAAAGTTTGGTACTTCTATCCATCGATTTAGGGTCTTTTAGGTGGTGTTCATTTAGGCATTCGAGGGCCTTCCAAGTAGGCATCATTAGGAGATAATCGGTATTTGGTTTCTGCAGTTGGGGACTATTCTAGGCATTGGTGGGTTGCAACCAAGTCCCATTGGTGTGAAGTCCTAGAAATTAACGACAGATGGAGGAAGTGTATTAGCAGAAATGTAACCTGTCATTCTATTTTTTGTAGGGGTTCTTTCTTACATTCGTGCCGAGCTCACGGTAGTTAGAGATATTTCATTGGAGAGGAAATATTAGGGCGATGAGATAAGATGATAGTTTTGATGAGTCATTCCTTACTAGAGGAGGATCGACGTTTGATGTCGAGCATTGATTTTGGTGTTCGAGATTCGACATATTTGGGTTATCTTAGTCATAGGTTGCCGACTGCAACGTTTAGAGATTTTGGATTTGGTAGAACTACTTCAAATTTTGGGTTGCATCAGATATTTGGTCGCCTAGCATTTGGTCACATCGAGGATATAAGATTTGATCCGATAACATATTTAGGATTCAGAGGCGTGTTTGATTATCAGGTATTGGCTTCTGATTTTGTTTTGAGCATGTATGTCACTTTTGACTCTCGGCGGGTGGAGAGTGTTGATCAGATTATTAGGATATCACAGCAGGTGGAGTGTGATGCTACTTCACATTGGGTAGAGATTACTTCATATGCTCCAGATTATAATACATTGTTTGGGATTCCAGCTGAGATGACACAGTTTGGGAATCATTTGGATTTAGATGTAGATGATGAGTTGGTTGATTCGAGTGCAGCTAGTGGACATAGTTTCGATTTAGATATGGTCGTTGGTTCATCTCAGTTAGAGGTGTTTAGTTTGTTTCATTTTGGGGCCATTGGGAGAGCTATCACTTGCAGATTCGTTGGTGATGTTGGAGAAGGGTTAGGAACTTCTTATTGGAATGAGGGCCTTTTGGAGGCCATTTGGGTGAACTACGTGAAAGCTTGATTCCTTGGCAAAGAGGATACATATGCAGTCATTTATGATGCAGTCGGTTTGATAAGTAGATACCGATGTTTGGAGAGTGTTCACATTCTCATTTGGATCTCGATTTGTTATGGATTGAGTCTATTGTCGTGAATTTGTTTCACTTCGTACTGGACACAATAAGTGAGACATTTAGTTTGGTTGGTGTTGGCTCAGTTTTGGAAAAACTTTCCTGAGGTGGAGAATTGTAGAAACGGTGAAAATATTGGAGAAGAACATGATTTTTGGAGCTGACAAACATTTGGGTGCTCTTCGGTCGATCGCGAGTTTTGGCACTGTCGACCGGCAACGTGCACGACTTGGTACAGATTCTGGATCTTTGGCTGTTCGACCGTGATGATTTCAACAGTCGACTGCCAGACACTATAATTGAATTTTGGATTCTATCATTCTATCTGGTCGACCGTTGTGATGCCCCTGGGTTCACACAAGGCTGCAGTCCGAGGTGAAACCAGAAATATCAAACCTGCCATGCACCACACTGTACAATAACATGTTTTACCATCACAATTACTATCTCTCTAGTGTAATCAACAACAGGTGTAGTACAGAGCAAGTAAACGATCTTACAACAAATGCTTGATGAAATGATAGGACTCAAATTAATACATCTCATCAATCAAATAAGCTGAAGTACATAGTCAAAGTCTAAAATGAACAATAAAGATCTGGAGACGTCAGCATGTCTTAAAGTACATAATGTCTGATACAGGAAATAAGGCACACAGCCTTTATAACTCTAGAACATAAACCTCTAAAGTCTAAAATGTCTCAAGTGGAGTACAAAAATAAATACATCTAAAAAGAGGATAATAGACACTAGTATGGGTCGCCCTTAACCTGCGACTCTCCGGGCTCCTGGCTCGTTACCTGAAAGGGGGAGGGACAACGAGCGTCAAAGCACTAGCGAGCAACATCACAACCAACCCTAAGGGATAGGGCTCGTTGTATATGAAAATACAATTAATACATAATAATATAAATCATTTACACAAACATTAATGGGTTTTAGTACTTAGGGAAATACAACACGAGCATAGGTATGTCGAGCGAAATAATCCAAACAAGGAAACCTTCATGTATATACCTTGTATCTCAAATTGTAAATCTCTAAATATTAAACCCGAGATTTGTCACAAGCAAAAAAAATAAAGAAATGAATACAACCCTATCTCTACCAGTAAAAATGTAAACCTGTCAAAGCTACAATAGGTG